CCAATAACTCAACCAGATATTATTAGAATCTCCATTTTTCAGGTAATCGACTAAAATTTAGAGAAGATTAGTAACTGTCAAAGGTTATAAAGTAAAGAGCAATTAGAATTTTAACCAAGGGAGTCTAACCTCACAGCCTGTATTCTTAACCACAGAAGCCTTGGCTATCCTTTCTCTCTCATCTCATTCTTAAATCCATCACTAAGTTTTTGCTTTGCTGCATAACCACCTTTCCTAAGTGTAAAACAGATAAGAGATTTATAGATGGGATGGAAATTGAGCTGTTCATGACTGACTACTCATTATTTCTGGCAAAGGGAAAGAATTAACTTCTTTGAAATCACAAAGCAAAATAGCCAAAAGAGTAAAAATTGTTTCTCTTTGGCAGTTGGTCATAAGAAGTATAATCTTAACACTTCATCTGATCAATGCATTATTTGCTTAGCCTAGAGCAATACTTCTTGATCACTCTTAAGGCTTTATTTGAAGACTGTCAATAAAGCTATTAGTGAATCCATATTTGCACTGTCCTAGAAACAAAACACATGAAAAGGCAATCTGTATTATTGCTCAGATATTACAAAACAAACTCACTCTAAAAACTTCCTGAATAATTATTCTTGTATTTGTCTTGGCTTACTTGCATCTAATTATATAGCCACACTGGATCAGTATTAATATATTATTCCAAAGCCACACAGGAACTTCACTGCAAACACATCTTCCTTAATATAATAATTCACTCAAATAAAAAAAATTTACTCAGATCCAGCATCTGCATCTTGTTCTTGCAAGTCTCTGAGAAGAGCTTTCACTTTCTCTTGATTCTCGGAAGTCATATGTAGAGTCTGAAGGGGCACTTTGGCTTCGGGCTTCCATTTGGGACGTGCTTCTCCTTTTCTTACACTACTGCTGTTGGCTCTGCAAAGGATACAAGAACAAAGTTACATATTTATCTGTGATCAGAACTTTTACACTCTCCTCTGAGTCACCAAATATACACATAAACCGGATTGTCAAGTATCATAAAAGATGACGATGAATGTGAAGAGACTCTCCATTTTCTACAGTATTTAACATTTCATTATACTGGAACTGCTGGAAAAAACCTGATTAGATTCTTAATCATTAAATCTGGCTTCACTAACAAGAATCCTCTGGAAAACGCAGTGCTATAATGACTCCCTCTGCACTAGAAGGCTTTCAAGAAATACGCTCCACATCACTCGTATTTACTTTATTCAATTTTTAGGTAACCCAATCTGAAAACAATATTACTTGTGAATATAAAGCCCTATTTTTTAGATATTTACCTAAATTATCATTATTTCCTGATTACAAAAATAATGATAAAATCATGTTCACTGTAGAAAAGTAAAAAAACAGAAGTCACTCTCATTCACATTCTTTTTCATAAACATTTTTACAAAATTATACAGCATATATAATCTTTTATAATTTGGTTTATTTCCTTATCAAAATAAAACTGACATTTCCCTAAAACTATTCTCCTGCAAAATAATTTTAAATGGGTCATATAAATATGTATGTACTGGAATTTATTTCACCAATCTTTCATTGTTGGAATTTAATTTTTTAGAGACTCATTTTAATACTTAAAACAATAGTAAGTTCTAAAGTTTAACTTTATTCACTACTTTTTTTTTTTTTTTTGGTTTGACATGTTTCATTATAGATTTTCACAAATCTAGGGAAATTGGAGAAATTTTTCCTCTATTTAAAATCTGGCACATTATTGAGAGGAACCACATATTTACACTTGCAAAATTGGGTAGCAAAGGAGAAAATAGGATTGTGCTTTTGAATCACTTAGTGCAACTTTTGAAAATAAATGTTATCCCAAATCTATCATTTCCCCTTTTTGTTTTGAAATTTTTTTAATCTACAGAAATAAAATAAACATCTGTTACCTAGATTCACCAACTGTTAACAGTTGCTATACATACATTCACTTTTCTTCTTCTATACATACACATATATGCTTACATGTATGCTCTCCTCTTTATATATTTGTATATGCATATATTGCTGAACCATCTGAATGTAAGCTGCAGACATGCAAACTTCAGCAGGCATTTCCTAAGGACAGACACATACTCTTACATACTACAATATCATCACTTAGAAGATATTTTATTTTGATACAATATCATCTAATACATAATCCATAAAGTTCCTAAATGCCTCAATCATGTCCTCTAAAGATTTTTTTATTATCTAATTTAAAATGACATTTATTTTTTTCAAACTCCTTTAATTTAGAACAGTTCCCTCACATATTTCCTGACATTGACTTTTTTGAAGATTTCAGACCATCTGTTTTACAGAAATCCTCACAATTTGGATTTGTCTGATCATTTTCTCATGATTAGTATTAAAAAAAAAACCTGGGGGGACTTCCTTCCACATGTTCCTATACCATCCACCAATTTATATATCCCACACCTTGCCTTCCTTCCTTACTAAGGATGAACCATCCTCGATCCTAAAGTTAACCCTCTATTTGTACACTACTGCAATACCTTTAACCTCCTCAAAGAAATCATTCCACACTTACCCCTTTCTGTATCGCCAGTCCTTCATTCTCCTTTGGATCACTCCCACCAGCCTACAGAGACATGCTATATTATGTCTACCTTAAAAAACCAAACCAAACAAAATCCTCCCTTAGACTGCACTCCCCTTCAAACTACTGACCTATTTCTCTTCCCTCCCCTGCTCTTCACAGCAAATCTCTTTAAAAGGGTTATCTAAACAACTATCTTTGTCTCCCTTTCTTTCCTCTTTCTGAAACACACTCCAAGCAGGGTTTCCTCTTCAACTATGCCAAACAGCTCTGTCAAGATTACCCTTGCTAACCACACTGCCAACTCCAGTGGACATTGTCACTACACATTTTTCTTCACTTATCAGAAGTATTTTTCTACTACTGAGTATCCCCTTTAACTATCCAATCCAATTTGAATAGATAATCCACATTCAAATACCTTTAGTCCTTAACTTCCAGAAACCATGCTCTCACAGTTGTCCTCCTAATTCATTGGCAAATCCTTCTTAATGCCCCTTGTTTGATTCTCCTAATTTTCTCATCTCTAAAGCCTAGGGTGCCCAGGGCTCAAAGTTCAGACCTCTTCTCTACCTCACCCAGCCTTATAGCTTTAAATAGCATTTATTCGTAGAGGACTCACACATTTACTTCCCTGGCCTACGTTCTTATCTTGAACTACAGAATTATGTATTAAATTGTCTATGACATCTCCACTTAGAGAGTAACTCCTAACTGATCTTGTTTCCAACTGTTCTCCTGTAGTCTGTTTGCACCAAGTCAGGGCTACTGAGTATGGTTGCATAGACTGTACGCTGTGCAGAGGCTCCTGCTAAGGAAGGGAAGAGGACCACAAGAGCTAAAATCCAGTCCATACCCTGCTCACCAAGTCATGCATCCTGGGGCTATAACTGCTCAAAAAAAGAGGCACCATTTTCTAATTCACATAAGGAATATGCCGAATAGCAGCAACTCTGGCCAGACTGATTGCTATCACACACCCTTGCCTCAAACCCTGCAACAGCTTCCCATCTCACTCGAAGCAACAGCCAAAGTCCTTATTATGGCCCATCAGGTCCTACACAGTGTAGCCTTTTAAATGTAACTGCTTATTATTCACCTTATCGATCATTCTAGCCGTATGGCTTCCTTGCCATTTCCTAAACCTTCCAAGCATAACACTGGCTTAGGGACCTTGTACTTGCTGTTGCTCCTGCCTTTGAAAGTTCCTCTCTCAGACAGCTTCAGAGTTCACTCCTTCTCTTCCTTCTTGTCTTGCTCAAATGACACATTATTAAAGAAGACTTCTCTGATCACTCCACATTAAATAGCAACTATTTTTTAAAAACCTGCAATCTATTTTGCTATTTTCTCTTTTACCCTCCTTAGTATCTACTACCTGACATATGTTTACTTACTGTCTTTGTAACTCAAACCTCCTTCTATGAAAACAAGGACAATATTTTATTCCTTGCTATAATTATAGCCCCTAATATAGTGCCTGGGGCATAGTAGGCACTCAGTAAATATTTGTTGCATGAAAGAACATCTCAGACTGTGAGAACCTATAATACCTATGTTTTCAAAAAGAATGAAGCTGCAGCTAACTCATAAGTTAGGTTCCTAAGTCAGCAGCTGAAGTCAAAATATAGTTTAAAATTACTCTGGGAGATTCCTTAAAACGTATTAAGTTTGAGACTGATCTCTCAATATGTCCAAAATGACCATTTTCTTCTAGGATGAAAAAAAAACACATAGATATTCTCTGCTTGAATGTCAGATGAAGTATTTGGTTATATTAGGGACTATGTATGAAAAACATATATTTAAGTCCTAAAATTACATAGTGCCTCAAGAGGCTTTAACTGTAAGAAGCACTTGGAAACTGAGACTGATGAGGGAATAGCAGATTCCTCTCTCCATACTTTGTTCACTGTGGGGCCTAGATCCGTTTAGTGGCAATTTTAAACTGCTTAAATAGTATTTGTTTTTTTCTTTTTTCCTGAATTTATATAGTTGGATTCATTTAAGTTAAAATCATGCATGATGCAGTTAAACTCCAGCACTCATCTATATTTCCTTCTAACTAATATTTAGTTGAGAGTTCTTCCTACAAGAGTGTGTATGTATTTATATACGTGTGTGTGTATTTAAAGAAATCTCTCCATCTCTAAAAATTCCAGTAGATAGCTCACAGTGCAATTTGAGAGGCAAGAATTTGTATGTATACTGTATAACACACAATAATAATATCTTTATTTTTGTTAAATATTTATTATAATTATCAGAATTTATTCATTACTTATAAATTGTGTATGAGAAAAGCCTGGATGTGACACCTGCCACTGGTCATCACACGAAACACCAGTGAAGATCTGGTTGATCTGGTTGGAAAATAAATAATTCCTCAACTGAGAAGAGAGAGTACAGTCAGGTCACATTTTGGGACCTTCAAACTACAGTGCCTAGGAAATACTTAAAGTAATTTTCATCACTTTCACAATTTCCAGCATTTACTTTCTTAGCAAGGTTATATTAACCATGTCATGTGGAAGTTAAAGTTAACTTCAGATTTTGACCTTAACAAAAAAGAACCAAACCAAACAGTTATTTGCCGTTATGCCTCCAGAAAAGGTTACAAAGAAGAATGGAAGGTTTTAAAATAAGAGCAGTTAACATGACCAGAATTGTCATTTTCCCCCCTTTCTCTGTACCATCTGTTGTCCCACAATTAGGAAATGATACTGTTTCATATTTGAACATTCAAAGAACATAATGACCTGGAAGAGCGCCTTGCTTCGCTGAAGATACAGAAGTCATCGCCATCATCCCAAATTCTACTTGAGGCTTTCCTATTGCCACCACTGCCGCCACCACTGCTGCCACCTCCATGAGATTTACTAGTGTGACTCCTGCTACCTCTTCCTCCTCTAGAAGACCCTCTTCCACCTCCTTTGCCTGGCTTGCCTTTTCTTCGTACTGAAGAACTCATTGTCACCTGCAAGAGAAAAAAGTAATATACACATCATAAAACCAGATGAGCATAATAATCTTTTGTTAGTCAAACTTATGAATATAGCCTATTTTAAAGAAATAAAGGAAAATGCACACTTAGGGCCAATTTAGGGACAGCCTAGATAAGTTGCTTCACAAAAGATTTACAAGCACATTCCCTTAAGGTTTAATATATAGTGAGTTTCTCTGACACAAATTTCTTAACCAGGATGTCATCAGAAACACATGGAGAAGTTTCTTTTTCATTTTATTTTGTTTTGTTGTTGTTTGTTATGTTTTATTTTATCTTATTGGTTGAGAAGTTTCAAAACACACATGGCGAGGTCCCAATCACACAGATTTCATTAGATCTGGTATAGGGTTTAAAAACTCTAGTTGAGAAAAGATGTTTTCATGTATTTAATATGTGATATGATTATAACAAAACTTAAATTTACATATACAATTTGAGGAACACAGCCCTGGTTCAGAGATTTTGCCTGGGGGGGGAATAAAAGTATTTAGAGTTTGTGTATGCAATCAAAGTTTTGTTAGCCTCTTAAAATAGAATGTTATAAGTACAAGATGTTTTTTATATAAGCCTCATGGAAAGTAAAAAGCAAAAATCTACAGTAGATAAACAAAAGAGAAAGAAAAAGGAATCAAAGTGGACCATTACAGAAACTCATCAAATCACAAAGCAAGAGAGGAAGAAAGGAACAAAGGAACAAAGGACCTATAAAACAACAAAATGGCAATAGTAAGCCTTAACCTACCAAGTATTACTTTAAATGTAAACAGACCAGATTCTCCAATCAAAAGACACAGTGTGGCTGAATTGATTTTAAATAAACAAGACCCAACTATACACTGCCTACAACAGAATTGCTTCAGCTTTAAGGACACACCTAGACTGAAAGTGAAGGATTGGAAAAAGATATTCATGCAAATGGCAATCTAAAAGAGAGCAGAAGCAGCTATACTTGTATGAGAAGAAGTAAACTTTAAGGCAAAAAGTTTAATAAGAGACAAAGATCATTATATAATAACAAAGGGGCCAATTCATCAAGAGGCTCTACCAATTTTAAATATTTATGCATTTAACATCAGAGCACCTAAATATATAATGCAAAACAAAATTTACAGACCAAAATGAAAATTAAAATACAATAATATGATGGAATACAGCCAAATCTAGATTAAAGATATTTTCTTAGACTTCTAAATAAGAGAAAACTGTTTTAACTCAAGATGTAATAAGTTTGGCCACAAAGAATAAAACACCTAGGAATAAATATAACCAAGGAGATTAAAGATCTGTGCACTGAAAACTTGATGAAAGAAATTGATGACACATATAAATGGAAAGATAGCCCATGCTGATGGATTGGAAGAATTAATATTGTTAAAATTCCCATACTACTCAAAGCAAGCTACAGATTCAATGCATTTTTCACAGACACAGAGCAAACAAACCTAAAATTTGCATGGACCCACTTACAAAGGGCCCTAATCCAAAGGCCCTGAACAGCCAACGCAATCTTAAGAAAGAAGAACAAAGTAGTAGCATCACACTCCCTGATTTCACATTATATTACAAAGCTACAATAATCAAAACAGCAAAAAAACTGATACACTGATCTATGAAACAGAATAGAGCCCAGAAAAAAACTCATGCATATATGGTCAATTAACTTACAACAAAGGAGCCAAGAATAATCAATGGGGAAAGGACAGTATCTTCAATAAATGGTCTGGGAAAATTGGACAAGCCGGATGCAAAAGAATGAAACTAGACTATTACCTTACACCATACACAAAAATTAGCACAAAATAAAGACTTGAATATAAGACATAAAATCATAAATCTTCTAGAAGAAAACATAAATGGAAGCTCTTTGACATTGGTATTGGTGATGAGTTTCTGTATCTGACTCCAAAACCAAAAGCAACAAAAGCAAAAATAAACAAGTAGGGGCTACTTCAAACTGAAAAGCTTCTGTATAACAAAGGAAATCATCAACAAAATGAAAAGGCAACCTTACAGAATATGTCTGTAAATCATACATCAGGTAAGGGGTTAATATCCAAAATATATAAAAAACTCATACAACAAAATAGCAAAACAAAACAAAACAAAACCCCAAATAATCTGATTAAAAATTGGGTAGAGGATCTGAATGGACATTTTTCCAATGAAGACACACAGATGACCAACAGGTATGTGAAAAGATGTTCAACATCACTAAAATCAGGGAAATACATATCAAAAGCACAGTGAGGTACCATTTCACATCTGTTAGAATGGCTATTATCAAAAGACAAGAAATAAAAAGTGTTGGCAAGGACGTGTAGAAAAGGGAACCCTTTTGCACTGACAGTGGGAATGTAAATTGGTGCAGCCATTATGGAAAGCAGTGTGGTTTCCTAAAAAAATTAAAAATGGAACTACCCATATTCTCCAACAATTCCACTTTTGGATATTTAGACAAAAAAATAAAAACACTACTTAAAAAAGATATATACATCCCCATGTTCACTGCAGCATTCTTTACAGTAGCCAAGAATCTGGAGATAGGTGACCTAAGTGCCACTGATGGATGAATAGATAAAGAAGATGTGGTATACAGAACAATGGAATACTATTCAGCCATAAAAAAACAGTGAATCACGGGAAGATGGCGGCGTGAGTAGTTCAGAGGAACTCTCCTCCCCAAAACACATATATTTATGAAAACACAATAAATACAATTATTCCTAAAAGAGACACCAGTGGATGCAGTACGACAGCCAGGATTCATCTACATCTGCGAGAACTCAACATCACACCAAGGGGGTAAGATACAAGCCACAGCCAGGTGGGACCTGAACGCTCCCCCACCCGAGAACCCGGTGGGAAGAAAGGAGTCAAAATGGGGTGGGAGTGAAAGCCCAGGACTGCTAAACAACCAGCTCTAGAAATCCACACCCGGAGCGCAGACACAAAGTGCACAGGGTGCTGGATATTAGAGAAATGGAAAAGCAAAACCTGTGCGCAGGTCCCCGCAACTGGCACGCCTGAGACAAAAGAAAAGCAAGTGCTTTCTGCAAGTCTTAAAGAGACAGGGACCCCATAGCTGGACGAAGTCGTACCGGCACACTTAGTCAGCAGCTGGGAATCCCGGGGAACCTTAGGTGCCCTAAACCCCAGGGAGGCAGCACAACTCTGAAGCCCCTCATGGCACTAAGCAGCCTGCCAGTCATTCCTCCAACTGGCATGGACCCCGACACACCAGCCCAGTAGCGGGAGACTGGCAGCGCGTGCCGGGAGCAGCAGCACCGGAAGGGGCTGGGAGCAGATCGCGTGCACCAACAGTGCTAGAGGGGACCAGGAGAGGCTTGTGTGAGCCCGCAGTGGCGGTGACTGAACAGCCTGGGTGCAGCTCACGCGCACCGGCAGCAGTGGAGCCAGAGGAGCCCGGTAGAGGCCCGTGCAGGAGAGCCCCGCACGCAACTGCAGCGGAGCCAGAAGGAGGAGGCACGCTCCCAGCAGCCGACTGGAATCCCAGCCAAAGGCACAGCCACCTGGGCCAGACCCAAAGGCTGCTGCTGGCACACAGCTGCCTGGCAGGGGGGGCACCGCTATTGCAGAGGAGTGCACCTGGCATGCCTGCCACTCTCCGCAGGGCTCTGCGCTGCTCTGATGGAGACCCCGCACACAGCAGCTTAGGGGACTAAACCGGTGGCTGCTCCAGGAGTGTGGGTAACAGACACAGGCAGTGGAGCAGGGCAAGGCATCCAGCAAGCAGGAAAGAACTTTCTTCTCCCAGCTGACATACCCGTAACCTGCCTACAGCCACAGCTATCACCACAAAAAGGCAAAAAAATTCAGTTCAGTCCAAGATAGTTCAGACAACACCTGAGAGAGGATCTGCAGAAACAGACCTAACCAGTCTCCATGAAAAAAAATTCAAAATAAAAATCATGAACATGCTGACAGAGCTGCAGAGAAATATGCAAGAGCTAAGGGATGACATCCAGAGAGAGATTACAGATGTCCAGAGAGAGATCACAGAAGTAAAACAAATTCTGGAAGGATTTATAAGCACAATGGATAAGAGGCAAGAGACCATTGATGGAATAGAAACCAGAGAACAGGAACGCATAGAAGCTGACACAGAGAGAGATAAAAGAATCTCCAGGAATGAAACAATATTAGGAGAACTGTGTGACCAATGCAAAAGGAACAAAATCTGCATTATAGGGGTACCAGAAGAAGAAGAGAGAGAAGAAGGGATAGAAAGTGTCTTTGAAGAAATAATTGCTGAGAACTTCCCCAAACTGGGGGAGGAAATAGTTGCTCAGACTACAGCATACAGAACTCCCAAGAGACGGGACCCAAAGAGGACAACACCAAGACACATAATAATTAAAATGGCAAAGATCAAGGACAAGGACAGAGTATTAAAGGCAGCCAGAGAGAAAAAAAAGGTCACCTACAAAGGAAAACCCATCAGGGTATCATCAGACTTCTCAACATAAACCTTACAGGCCAGAAGAGAATGGCATGATATCTTTAATGCAATGAAACAGAAGGGCCTTGAACCAAGGATACTATATCCAGCATGATTATCATTTAAATATGAAGGAGGGATTAAACAATTCCCAGACAAGCAAAAGTTGAGGGAATTTGCCTCCCACAAACCACCTCTACAGGGTATCTTAGAGGGACTGCTCTAGATGGGAGCACTCCTAAAAAGAGCACAGAAAAAAAC